TTTCAGGTGTCGTGGACGCGGACATTGTATACTTTACGCGGGTTTGTTGCTTCGGAGGCGCAACAAGTGCGTAATTGATAAAGTTTTTTGGGCCTCGGGGACGCGAGTATCGTGAATTTACGAGTGATTATGGCCTCGGGGGCGCGAATCTTGTGTATTTTTATTTGCCCCTCCTCATGAATTCAGAGAACGCGATCCGGGCGGGGTAAATTGGGTGTTTTTGGTCTCACCCCTCTCGCGCGGATTATTCTAACAGTTTACAATAGGAAACAGAAAGCAGGATTGTACCATTGGAGACTTAACTGGTGCAGGGAGCAGCACACTTCGGCCTACAGCCTGGTGGCCCTGCAAGGGGGCTGGCGGATTGCACCATACACACATACATACACACATACATATATACACATATATATATATGTATAAATATACACACTCCTTCGTCAAACAGTATTCGTATTTAGCCCCCCTTCCGACATTAATTCACTCCTTCTCGTATTGCAATTAACATGTGATTTTGCCCCATCGCCCATCCTAGGTATGAGTTCGTACCATTCCGGGGAGGCCAGTATCGGCCCCCCGCATCATCTACAGAAAATACACTGCGAGCGCATTCGTTCATCAAGCATCACCATTTTCCAATACTCCTTTGCAAACAACGGGACACAGTACACACGCGCGCGTCGTCGAGCGCGCATGCCGAAATCTGCCAAACAACTGCAGGTTTGGTAAGGAATTCAAAAATCGAGTGTCCCGAAAACATCTAAACACATGGTTTCGCAACAAGAATGTTCAAAAAAGCTTGCGCTCGCGCTCTTGCGAATTCGTAGTCAAGAAAACCACCGCTTTCAACATGTTCATAGCTTGCTGCCAAACGGACCTCTCGCGCGCGCTTGTCGGAATTTCCCGAACGCCGTTGCGCGCGCGTGCTGTCGCAAGGCTCTCCAGCAACAGTTGTTACGAAGTGCACGCGCGCGTCGTCGCGCACGCATGTCGAAATCGTTAAAATTCCTTACGTGTCGTAGGGATTTCAATATCGAATGCCCCGAAAACGTATAAAAGACAATGGTTTTGCACCATCAGTATCCAAACGTGCGTGCGCTCGCGCTCCTGCGAATTCTGAAGAAAACATGTTTTTTCCTTGTTTCAACGTTGTCATTCAATTCGGCCAAGCGGGCCCTTCGCGCCGCACGTCGAAGTCATTCGAACGCCTTTGCGCGTGCGGGGGGGGGGCGCGGCACGATCCGTGTCAGATCACACTATGCGGGCCACACTCGCGCGTCGGCCTCGCGCGCGTGTCGAACTCCGTCAAAAACCTTCATCACCGACGCGAGAACACCGTCATCGTCGTCGGCGTGGTGCCGTCGCTGGCCTTGCCGTTGTCGTTGTCATCGTCGTCACCAGCATTGCTACCTTCATCACGTCTACCGTTGTCGACTTTGCCATGATACCGCGCCCGCCCAAGTTGCCGACTCGCACTGAAGTGCCCGCTGGGAAGTGCCCAGCGGTCAGCGCCACCGCGGCCGCGTCGGTCGCGCCAAACTAGCCAGCACCGCTGCGCGCACGCGCGCGCGCGGGTTAGCGCGGCCGCAAAGATGCACCAGCCAATTCCAAGCACTCTTCGCAATCGCCGCCGCATGGGCTTTGCAAGCCAAGTTGCGGGTGGGTGGGTGGGATGGTTGTTCGAGCGGTGGAGCGGACAAGCCAGTGCGACCAGACCTTCGTTACGCCACATTTACTGCATCACAAATGCAACATAGTTTGCTCTACAAAATTTCGCCACGCGTGCGGTATCACCTAGCGTGCTCGATCACACTGTTCGGGATCCGCGCTGGATATTCGACATGTGTATATAAACACATTATATATATATATATGGATTTTCAACATGCAATATATAGGTATGTATGTGCATGTATGTATACATATATATATATATACATATATCAGCATGGGCGCTTCACGCCATGCGCCTTGTTCCGGACCTTCATCGGCGAAACAATGAAGCATCGCTTGCTTCAGCAGGGGGGACCTCGAGGCCTGGACGGGCGACCGGCTCATTTTTCTGATATCTTTGGTGCCTGCTGACACCGCGTTCGCCCGATGCGCTTGCACGCTTGTGCGCTGGAGTGCGGGAAGAGTGCTGTTTTTTTTCACGCGCGAAGGTCCTTTGAGAAAGTAAGGGGCGTTCCCATGACGCGCCGAAGAAGTCGCCCTGGCTCCGAACAAAACGATTTTTGGTGGCTTTCTGAATGCCTGTAGAGATCCAGGCACCCAGGAAATCTTCGATCGCCGAACTTCGAATCAAGATCCACTGCGTGTTCTCCCGATCGAGGAACTTCAACCTCGAGCGTCACGCGTGGAACCAAGAACGTCGGAACAGCTCGATGTGCTTCGCAGGGGGACGCCGTCTGGGTTTTTCGTTTTTTTGGGGGGCCGTCCTAGGGCCTTCTTGGGCCGTCGTGGAGCCTTTTTGGGCCTTTTCGGGAGGCTGGGGCCCTCC